CCCAAAACCCCAAAACCCCAAAACCCCAAAACCCCTCCTCATACTATGAATATTGGAATAATGTTTTGTTATTAAGCTTACCTCTATTTATTACAAATGAAAGTTGAATTCTAGATCAAATCTTACGTATCCATCAGCTAATGACTAAGAAATCCCATTTGGTTGATTCAAATTCTGATAATCTGGCAGACTTCATGAGTATTCTCAATATTTTAAGCTTAACTGAGCATTGACAGATTTAAAGAGAAATTTTGAGTAGTTTTCGATGAAATTTTAGCAGGGATTGACTGATTCCTGAAAAGTAGGAATTAACATTTTGAAGGTTGTATGACCAAAGAAATTATGAATCAGAGATTAAAAGGTTTATATTGTAGATCAGAATTTGAAAGATACCTTTTGGAAAGGGAAATAATGTTATTATTAATGTTCACTTCTCTTAAACATGCTTCCCAAATATTCATATATCTTTACTCTTTCCCAAAGGGTTCAACACAATCTTGCCCACATCTTACCCAGGTTGCATTAAAACCAACTGTTCTAACCGCACTAACACCAATCCTCCTTTCATATCTCGCCCTCTATACCAAGTACACCCGTACTTGTCGCACCCCATGACTATTCATCTTGAAGCCCTGCCATTCTCTATAAAGTGGCATTCAAGGTTATCCGTTTAGAACAAGAATGGCTGAAATAGATACTGTAATTATTAGTTTTGTGCGCATGGAAAGAAGAATTAGGATTATTACATGGTTATGGAGAGAGATGAGGAGGAGACATAGGAGTTAAAGAGATAATATTGGTAAACAATGGGTGAGTGTAGGGGTTGAATGTTTATGATGTGCTTAGAGGATATAGACCGTATTTTAGTAATTTCAGCCATATTTCTTCCTTAGAGGAGCCAAGTTTGAGGCATGCCAGGCTTGATAGGGGGACTAAGGTCGTTAGTTCAGTGTCTTTGGTTATAAATACTGGCAATTCTTCGATTTCGATGGTTTTGGAATGCTTTGGATGTGACTTTTTGATTTCTTTTTGAGGATCCTTTTCAAGAATTACCATAATCTTATTTTTCAAACTTCAGTTCAGAAGGGTCATCATAGTAAGAGTTATCAATCTCTGAGATCTTTCTTAAGTTCTTAGCCTTATTTATATCTTCCTGGGAGATCAATCAACTCTTTAATTTTCCATTTGGGTTCTGAATAGTTACATAATAGTTAGATTTTGAGTGCTAAATTTGTGAAAATATGGCATACAAGGGTGTCCGAGCAAGCTTCAGCAAGTCCTTTTATTGTAAAAACGATTTTGAAGTTCATAGGAGAGTCTTCTTTTAGGACCTCGATCCTGGCAATTTTGTTCATCGGCTTTATGATATTGACATCGCCTAGATTAGGTTTAGACAGATAATATACTAATTTTTCTTAGCTTTGGGATGTACACCTTGTTTTGGTCTATGTTTTGTGAGAGTGGGGCTTACCTAGATCTTCTAGCTTGTTCTCCTCGTTGAGAGGTTCGGAAAGATCAGGGAATCCCTTCAAGATATCAGAAAGATGCATCTTGTAAATGACATAGGTTGCAATCGAGCTGAGAGGAATAGTGTCTCACACCTCTCGGTTATCTAAATTTCTGAATAAATTATGCACATCTCTTGATTGCTTCAAGGGTATTTTGTTTGCATGTTCTTGGTCAATTTCAAAACTGTTTAGTAGAATTGAGAAATTTTTCAAGAAATTTAAATAGTCTTTAAGGCTGAAGTAATATAAAGTTTTCGCCAATCAAGGGATAAATTCTACAAAGGGATCATCATAGTGATGGGAAGTTTGAAATAGGCTTTCAAAGTCATATCTGACCACAGATCCATCCCAGATGTTATGAAGAAGAATCCTGAGCTCTTTGTATTGATTCAAACGATATTTTGATACAAGTGTCTTTCCACTATCAATTTTTAGCTCCTTAAGCTTTAGATAAGTCAGGCTAAGATTCTTTTGCTCATGATTGAATCAAGTTACAAGCTCAGGGTATTTATTACTGTAGAAAGACCATTGCTTGTCAAAATACCAAGGAACTTTTGAGAGAATCTCTTTCTTGATATTAATAGAGTTTCAGATCATGATCATTTTTGCAGTATGCTTCACATCATCCCAATGAGGCTCTTCCATTTTAAATTTCAGGTTATGACCAAGGATCTTCTCAAGGTTATTGTATACTATTTCACTGTGATTATCACCCAATCTTTTGAATGTATGGTAAATTCCTAGTTTATCCATCTTGAATTTGCTGATATTAAGGAGAAGGTGATCCATCAAGAGATTGAAGGTATGCCAATTTTCGACTTGAATATGGCCGAAGAATGAGTAAATCGAATGTCTAAGCTCAGAGTTATGCTCTTTCAGATTAAATACCACAATATTTACGCTGTTTTTATCGAGAATTAAGGCGTTATTAAAGACAGACATTCATTGTAGTGAAGCTATTCTAACTTCATCAATTTCATCATTGAGCATATTCATCAGAATATTTTTGACTTTATCTTGAATAGATTGGCACTTTGAGCTAAAATACTTCAAAGCTTCTATCGATTGCAATCGTATCTCATATTTTTCATCTTGACTTAAAGCAAAGAAGATTCCAGTATATGGCTCTTCTTCAAATGTTCAATGCTCATAGTTATAAGCCAGTCTTCCTTTGGCTTTCTTGACTGCTAGTTTGTTATCCACGCCCTCTTTAGCTTTAGCAAAGACTTGTCTTTCGAACATTTTCTCAATTACATCTCTTCTTAGATTTTTGAATTTGACAAGGCACTTAGTTGCAAAGAGTCTTTCATCATGATTAATAGACCTAATGTACATGCAAACCATCTCAAATACAGTAAGGCTAACAGAATGGTCGACTTGTAGAGAATACTCGATCAAGATTTCTAGGGCACAGTTTCGGATATCCTGACTTTCATCATTCCTGAAGAGTTGTCAGAAATCTCTAAAGTAGCCTTTAAGCTCATTAAGTGCTAGCTTAACGATCTCTCCAAGTCTAAGTCTCAAGCGTTCATCTTTTCCTCTGAGGAAAATCTCAACTACAAGGCTACTGAAATCCAGGTCTTTTTCTGGACAACTCTTTCTGTGGATGCTCAGCAGTTTTATAAGGTTTATAGCTTCTTTGGTAATCTCATTTTTGACTCAAATGAGTGTCTTCAATTCTCCTCTTCTTGAAAAGACTCTTGAAGCTATAAGAGCAAATTGGTTAAGATATAAATAGTTAACAGTGAAAAGGAATCAATAAGATAGATAGTTTTCCTCTGATATCGGAAGTGGCAAAACTTAATATAACTTAATTAAGTCACAAGGATAGCAATTATGGCTATCCTCTACTGTGATCAGATCAATTTTATCAAGTCTAGCTTCACTTTGAGAATTAGACATGACAGTTAGTGTGATCTTAAATTCTCATTTTTGGTAGGAATAACTAAGCCAAAACTCGGGTGCAAATTTATCAAAGTACTTAAAATAAGCTTTTAAAAGCACTATGCAAGAATTATAAGCTTCTGTTGATCATAAAGCTAGCTTTTTGAGGATGGATAATGGCTCGTTCAGTTAAAAGGATTTTCTGAAATAACTTTAGCATCGCTTTATAGATACTTAAAGGTCGCAGTCAATAGTTGCTTCTAAAAGGGAAAGAATTTATTCTAAAGGAATTAATATGCTTAAAGGTTAAGTCCGAAGTATCCTTCTTTAATAAATTAGTCATGGGTTAGGAATTTTCGTTTTGATAACTATCATTGGAAAGGACAGACTTGTTTGCTTAGATTAATGCAGGAAATAAACTAGTCCACAATCATTCGGACTGACTCTTTACCTTCTTTATGTAGGGATTCAGATGCACTTTGAGTGAGGGAAGTCTTCACAAGAGTTTTCACTAACTTTGTGGGCAAGTAATCACTGATTTGCTGCAAAGTTTTAATCTTAAAGCTTACTGGCAGTGGCTGTTCAGAATCAGAGAGGAGGATCTGAGATATAGAAGCTGATCACCCTTCCTTTGGTGTTGTTTGGAAGAGGGTGGATAGGCAGTTGTAGATTTGTGAAAGCAGGAATGAAGTCAGTCAAGGAGGGTTTCAATTCGATGAAGGAGCAGAGCGTTTGAGTCCGAATAAAGGGATTTTTGATGGCTTTTGAAACAATCTTAGGGATGACCTTGAAGAACTAGAAGATTAAGGGAAAACTTGCTTTGAAACAGATCTCTCAAGGAGTGTTTTGAAATTTGAGTAAGTTAACAAAATTAAAGATGTGTTTAAAGCAGTTTTATGAAATCCTATAGGTTAATTTTGATCTTACCTTTTTGAGAAGGACATTTACACTCTTCTAAATTTTTGGAGCCATTTAAGGTGTTGTGTGGTCAAGGAGGCTCCAGAGTTATTTCATAATCTTCAGTTTTATTTGATCTCCTAAGCTTAGTTAAAACACTTTAATTCCTAAAAATATTTACCAATCTTGACTTTTAGCCCTCTTTTTATCCTCTCTGTCTCCATTTTCTTGCTCCTCCAAAATGTCGATCAAAGCCTGGACCCAATCTCCACTCTCCTTATCAACAAGATCAGTGACTCTCAGAATTTCCCTTTCGCTATCTTCAAAATGAACTCTCTTTGCCTGATATTGGCCTTCCCCATCCTGCAAAGGAGGTTCATCATTGCTAATTTGGTCATATCTTCTTTTCATTTTAGTTAAAACTATATAATTTATATCCAATAATCTTTATGACATAGGGGTTTTGGGGTTTTGGGGTTTTGGGGTTTTGGGG